TTGAGCACTATTTTGTAAAAATAAAAATATCTATAAGAACACATATATATATATATCTTGCTGTTCTTTCTTTTATTTATATATATATATATATATATATATATATATATATATATATATATATATATATATATACACACACACTTTAAAAATGTTAATGCTTAAAAAAGTTATCCTCAGGTGATTTTTATAATTTATTTTATAATTGATAAAATCACCTGAAAATTGTTTGATTTTTTTAAAATAAAGCATTGGGAGATCAATTGATAAAATTGCCTGAGGATAGCGTAAGGTTGAAACCAAGTTTGTGAATTCACGTGATCTCCTGATTTTTAAAGTTTCAAGCTCTACATGTTATTTTTACATTTACTTTTATTTTTTTTTACACATGTATTGAAAACTTTTTAATACTACTGTTTCCTGGTCTGATTCCACTATGACCATTAACCTTTTATGTATTATATATATATATATATATATATATATATATATATATATATGTGTGTGTGTTTGTGTGTGTGTGTGAATAAAGACAAAAGGAAAACTTATCTTAAGCAATGTGAGGGACTTTGTCAAGGCAAATGCAAAGATCTAATTTTGTAACAAGTATTTATATACAAGAGCAAAGATGTTATTAGCTTTTTCAAAATTTTTAAATTTAAGAACATTCATATATATTCATCAATATTTAAATTATATTAGTTTGGAATTTATTTATGGGTTAAATATTATAAATGATATTAGGTTATGAATTTGACTATTTTCTTTTATACATATTGTCCTTTTATAGATATACTCTATCTGAAATTATAAAATATATATATATATATATATATATATATATATATATATATATACACACACAGGTAAAAATCCATGGGTAAGTAATCCAAGTGAATCCTAATAATATAAAATATTAAAGCTGATCTACAAATAGAGCTCAATGTATTTATTGCAGAGCATATATAAATAAATTACAAATAAATGAAATTCAGAAATACCCCATCTGAATAGTCTTTTTCTCTGCACCATGGCCATTTAGATGGGATATTTTTGAATTTCATTTGTTTGTAATTTATATATATATATATATGAAAATTTTTTAGAGTTAACCTGTAGAAAAGACAATATTTCCCTAAATTCTTCCAGTTACTAAGGACATTTTGTTTTTGTTATTATTAGTTACTTTGTTAAATTCATTTTGTTTTTTGCTTTGAAAAAGTCCACATTGGACGAAACATGTCGGCAACTATTAGAGTTTTCCTATTGTCATTTATATATATATATATATATATATATATATATATATGTGTGAAAAGTGTATATAAATATAAATAAATATATATACGTATGTATAATTATTTATACATTATATGCGTGGTACTTATTAGAAAGCTCAATATCAGAGATAGAGCTAACATATTTGTTGGATAGATGTGAGTTTGTGACTCTGGGTTTCACACTTTATCGATCGTCCTGACGATCGCTAAAGTGTGAAACCCAGGGTCACAAACTCACATCTATCCAACCAAATATATATATATATATATATATATATTAAAAAGAATACAAAACTTAAAAACCAATGGGATTTTAAGTGTTTGATATTTTTTAATTAATAATAATTTTGCTCTGTCTTTTGACATATAGCTCTCCCTGGATTTATATTCTCCTGGAAATTCCATACGGATTACGATATCGTATTATTTATATATATTGTATTTTGGCCTTTCACCAGGTACTTTTGATTGTTTGCATGTGAGCTGATCTTTCTGGGTCAACAAAATTCATACTGTGATTTGCAGTCAGATGACATTCTAAAATCCCCAGCACCCCTCATTTGTGTGGGTATGAAGTTATACCAACGTAATAAATTTGCTCAAAGTCTTGAAGAATGAAATGTGTCACAAGTAAATATTTTTCCACTTTGTCATACAATTTCCCCCAGTATTGTTCTTGATGTATAAATATATATATATATATATATATTTATCATTATCTCATACAGTCAGATGAATATAATTGAGATCATCCTTCAAAGATGTATATTCTTTCCAACAATTGGAAGAATATTAGCTCTGTAAGAAGCGAACAGCACTGTCCTTGTCAGTGCATTCTTGTAATTAACTCTAGCAACTTCATGGCAAGCTGAATACATTTTGATTTAAATTTCAAGAGTGCCAAAAATTTAATAAAAAAAACAAACTTTGATATAAAATTTATAATTTCTTGAGGTGAATTAATATGGTGAGTAACTTTACATTAGGGTGAATTAACAGTAAAAATCCGGAAATATTCCCAAAAATCTGAAGTGTATTTATATTTTGCTAAGATCTCAAGCTTTCATTATTCATATTGTCCTTTTTAATTTTATTTTTACAGATATATTTTTTTTAGTTAAATGAATGAATGAAAATGTTTGTTTATTCAATTCTACTTTGCTTCTTTTTTTTTTTTTTCCTCGTACCAACTATTTTTCTTTGTCACGAAAAACGTTACAGACAAAATAAACAATAAAAAATAATTAAGATATCTATCTTTTTAAAAGTGGTATAAGGAACTGCTTGTTTCAATAACAGCACATAAAAGTTGAAGGTTGAAAGAAAAAAACAAAGAAAAAGGAAGTCTACGTTGGGAAATTCTGTAGCTACCCGCATCTTCACTTCTTGCTCTGCGCACAGAATCTTTTCTTTTCCCTTCGTCCCTACTTAAAAGGTCCATCTCACGATTTGCCTAAACTCAACTATTTCGTCGTGACAGCTAGTGAGGGATGTAGGGTTTGAGATGAAGTAATAATACAAAAGTTGACTGAAAAAGAAACAGGATGTTCCTCCATATTGGGACAGAAAAGAAAGACCATAAGTAAATGAAGTTGAATGGCTACAATACAAAGAGAAGAAAGGAGACGATAACCGTACGTAGAAAAAAAGTGAGTGTAGAGAAGGAAGAAAAGGTTAAGTGTTAAAAAAAAAGAATGTCGGAAAAAGAGAAGGCGAAGTTTAAGACTTAAAAAAAGGATGAGAAAGGATAATGTGGCGGTTATGTGAGTAAACTTAAAGGAAATAGAAAAAGTAATTGGAAAAAAAAATAAGGAAAGTAAAAAAAAAAGAACAAAGAAAGCAGACGATAAGGTGTTAAATTAAATAAGAAAGTATAAACAAGAAAGGAAAAATGAGAGACAAAAAAGAAAAGAAAAATAACAGAAATTCAATATGTCGGTCATGTTCGAGTGAAATGAAAATTCAATAAAATCTTGATCATTTTTGAATGAAAAAAATGTAACTTATTTTTGAATGAACGAATAAAAGAAATAAACATTTACATTGCTGAAGTGAATTAATGAGTGAAAGAAAAAAAATGATCGTATTTTTGTATGATCGAACGAAAGAAAGAAAGTGTTTGAATGAAAAAAAGAAAATGGAGATCGTGTTGGAGTGAATGAAGATAAAAAATGAAGATCCTTTATGCGAATAAAAAAAAGAATTACGTTGGAATGAAAGAAAAAAGTGGATCAAAAAATGAATGAAAAAATATGGATTTTCTTTGCATGAAAGAAAAACAAGGATACTTTGAGAATGAATGAATAGAAGGAAAATTTAAGTGTAATGAAAAAGAAAAATCATATTCAAAAGAATGAAAAATATCAAAAAGTTTGCGCGAAAATATAGTTCCTGTCGGAATGAAAGAAAGAAAGAAAAACGGATATAATGGCAGAGTGAATGAAAGAAAAATATTGTGCTAAATGGATGGAAGGAAAAATATTGATTGTATGAATGAAAAAATAGCGTTTAAAAGAAATAAAAATGTACAAAATGGCCCGAAAGTCTTGTTACCCTAAATTTTCTATTTCAGATGACTGACACAAGCTCCTACAGTTCGGAAGAGAGGTAGGAAGTGACAAGACTTTCGGACCATCCTGTAGATTGCATTTTACTTGAATGAATGAAAGAAAAAAGATAAATTATATTTATGTGAATTAAAAATATATTGAATAAAGGAAAGAAAATGTTGGAATGAATGAATGAAAAATGTAAATCATATTCAACTGAATGAAAGATTGGTTAATTCATTTTTTATGGATTATCAACCCCTTGTGACTTCTGAATTTCTGGTATGAAGAGTTATCATTATTTAGACTATTTACATGTGGACTATTGTACTCATCTTTGTCACTGTTGTTATAATGTTTCAGCCATTGTGCTCTCCAGCCTTCATCAGGTGTATGTCAGGCCGGGTAAGCTATAGTGAATTCTGAACTGAACCCGTTATTTAATCTATGGGGATAGACTGTTCTTGTTCCACTGCCCATGATTAGGGATATTTCGCCTAATTTGTATTTTTATTACTGGTCAGTTATTGCTCACCATAAGAACTTCCTCCATAGATTTAATAAAGGTTTCAGTTTGGAATTCCCTGTAGGTTAACTGGGTTGACATACAGTTTTGTGGGTTATTTAAAGCTGAATCATATTTTGGATTGTAAGAATAATTTTTGGATGAGGGGAGTGAATATTGCACTTACAATTCTTACTATTTAACCCATAGTTGGGAGAGAGGATAGATTCATACTTCTCCTAAGGCTACTAAATAAATGTAATGAACCCAACTGTAATTTGAACTCAACTCTCTAATTTCTCATTCTGAGTTGCTGTCCATTATACCACCCACACACCCCAACTGAATGAAAGAAAAATGTGGATTAGGTTTGAATGAATAAAATTTGATTGATTTATTTTTTATGGCTTATCAATCTTTGCCGGTTATTTAAAGCCAGAAAATATTTTTAGAGTGTAAGAATATTTTTTAATTTTTGAAATAATAATGATTTAGTGATACAAGTCTTACTAATTAACCCATAGCTGGGAGGAGAAGAAGTGGATTCATATCTTTCCCAAGAGTATTTACATGTTAGTGAATATAACAAATCCAACAGGAATTGGAACTCAGCTTTCCAATTAACAATTCCAAGACATTATCCATTATGCCAACTGCACATCCAAGCTTACAGCACCTGGTATTCCCAAGTGGTCACCCATCTAGGTACTGACCAAGCTCAATATTTGCTTAACTACGGTGATCATATAAGAACTAGTGTTTCAATGTGATGTGGCCATAAGCCCCAAGCAAGGCAATAAAGCCACTAAGACAAAAGGGGTTACTGAAAGTGAATGTTAGTGAAGAGAAAGAGCAGTAAAAGAACAGGATTCAGGAAGAAAGAAGATGGTGATTGACATTGCATTTAAATTTATGAAGATTGTAGTTAACAGGAAAAGATGATAGCCAGAAGAAATGATATTAAAGTGATAGAAAGAAAAATGTACATTGTATTTGAATGAATGAAGGAAAAAAATATATGAGTTGAGTTTGTTTTGTTTTATGGCATATCGACCTCAATGGGTTATTTAATGCCGATAAGATTTTTACAATAGATTCATATGAATAGAATATGTATTCTTTGTAAAAAATCATTTTGTTGATCAGGTTTGCTTTATTTTGTTTTACGGCATATCAACCTCAATGGGTTATTTAATTCCGACAAGGTTTTTACAATAGATTCGTTAGAATAGAATATGTATTCTTTGTAAGAAATCATTTTGTTGATCAGTTTTGTTTTATGGCATATCAACCTCAATAGGTTATTTAATGCCGACAACATTTTTAGGATAGGTTCATATGAATAGAATATGTATTCTTTGTAAGAAATCAGTTTGTAGATCAGGTTTGGTTTATTTTGTTTTACAGCATATCAACCTCAATGGGTTATTTAACGCTGACAAGATTTTTAGGTTAGGTTCATATGAATAGAATATGTATTCTTTGTAAGAAATCAATTTGTAGGAGATCTGGTTTCATTGATGTATTTTTGAAACAAGGGTTTGTGGAGAGTTTGTTTTCATTGATGTTTTCTTTTCAGATATACATTCTGTAGAAAAGTTGGTTTTATTGACATTCTTATTTGGTTTATATTTTTTGGTACAGGCCCACTGTTTTAAAAAATAATATGCCATCCATTTTTGCTTTTTTAAAGATCTCATACATGTTGTTTATATTATAGCATTTTTGTCTTGAGAGATAAAGTCCCGAACATTCAGTTAATATGTTTAATCGTGTATGTCATTTAATATGCTTCGCATACTGACTGATTTTCCTTGTTAAGCAAATATGAATGGGTTATTCTTGTGTAGCCAATGAGATATTAGGTTGGTGCAAAAATAATGACGTAAGAATGTCGTTTTTTGACGTTAAAAAATATGTTAAAAAACGACATTATTACGCCATTATTTTTGCACCAACCTAATAGTAAGTCTGAAAAAATTAAGATCTTGTTTGCTATTTTTAATGATGTTGAGAGCTAGATCTATTGTATAAGTCTCCGCAGTGAAAATAGAGCTTCCTTATGGAAGGCATTTTTTATTGTAATATTTTGGCTCACTGCTGCTCATCTTGTCTTGTACTGACACTTTGACCTGTCCATATAGATGGGTGTATGTCTAGGGTAGTTTTCCAATAAGCCCTGAAACTTGTCCTAGAATATGAGGGGGTGTGTTTTTTGTTTAGGGACTTTATTTAGTTCTAGAGTGACTACAGGTTGCTTGATTGTCCATGGTAGTCTTGCATGTTTAATAGTGTGGTCCCTAACTCTTTAGCAATGGATTTCATCCTGAGTCTATAGGGTTGTATCATAGTCTCTTTTTTTTTTTGGAATAGATCATACTAATTAGGTTTAAAGGTACTGTTGTAAGCTGCATTATTTGGGTATGATTTTAGAGCCAACTTTGAATTCCAATCGAGTCCATTACATTCACTTACGTGCTAATACCCTTGGGAAAGTTATGAATCCACCTCTTCTTCCCCCAGCTATTGGAAAATAGCAGGACAGACTGGGTTTTTTAGCCTTGGATGGCATCTAGTCTAGGAGAAGGACAAGTCTGAATTCAAAAGCTGTGGAAGCTTGTTTGGGAACTGTGGATGATGGTTGAAACAAGATCTCACTGTCTTTAAGATGTTTCCGTGGCATACATCTCAGATATCATCTGTGAATGAAGTCCAGCTCCATGACAATAAAAGAACAGGACTCAAGAAGATAAATGACGATTGACATTGGATTTAAAAGATCTTAGTTGACAGGAAAGCAAGAGAGTTCCACAGGCAAGAAGTGCAAAAGAGGAAAGTCAATAACGGCTCAGATTGAGGAATCAGAGAGCCGAGTTCGAATTACAGTCGAATCCATTACATTCTCTTACATACTAATACCCTTGGGAAAAGTATGAATCCACTTTTTTCCTCCCAGCTATGGATAAATAGCAGGCCAGACCGGGTTCTATAGCCTTGGATGTCAACTGGTCTACCACAGAAAGAAATGGCAACCTACTGCAGAGAAAAAAAAATCTGCCTCATCAGTCATGTATTGAATGATACATGATTGCCTAAGCGTGTATCACACATGGCAAATAACTGACTGGGTGCCAGTTTAGATTGCCTTAAATGTGGAGGTGTTTCATTATCTTCTGTGTACAAGCTCTCCACAGGAGATGTTCTAAAAGCCCCATGAACTAGTCTGAGGCCTTGATGATGGGTTACGTTAAGTATTTTTAGGTATGATTTTTTGGCTGCCCCATATATGAAGCTACTGTAATCCAGTTTTGAGTGAAGTAATGATCTGAATAATTTTGTTAATGTTTATTGATCTGCCTCCCACCCACTCAATATAGACAAATACATGCAGAAGTTGGAGCACTTTGTTTCATTTTCTTTTTAAAGAGAAAGAATATTGATTTTTTTTATCAAAGATGATACCTAGGAACTTGTGTTGTTCCACTATTGGGATTTCTGTTCCGTCTTATTTTAAACAGGGGTCGTTGTGCAATTTTCTCAATTGGCAGAAATCTAGGTATTTAGTTTTCTTTTTGAAAAATTGTCATATAGGAATAAAGTGTCACTGCCAACACTTTGATTTGAACATGGATTGCCAGAGAGCAAGTGCAGTTGACCTCATCTTGAAATAATAAAATCACATGATGGGTAAAGGAAAAATATATTTATGGGAATTAGCAGCGTCTGACTGAGTATTGTTTGAAGGTATTACTATTATATCTCTCCTACAAACCGGCATTACAAAAAAAGTAAAACTATTTTCAGTAACCTATTTGTGTTTTTTATTGAGGCATTCTGTCACCAGAATGAACCGATATAAGCAAGGTGTATAGATGAGCAGGGTCAAATGAAGTGACATAAGCAAGTTAAATTGGATAGATTAACTTGCTTTGATGAACTGGTATGAGCAGCCTAAGATGGCGAGATGGGTTGGCTCAGACAAACTGATATGAGCAATGATTATATCAGTTCATCTGAGCCAGGCCATCTATACATCATAATCTGCTCATATCAGTTCATTTGAGCCAGCCCCTCTAGACATCTTAGTCTGCTCATATCAGTTCATCTGAGCCAGGCCATCTATACATCACAATCTGCTCATATCAGTTCATCTGAGCCAGGCCATCTATACATCATAATCTGCTTATATCAGTTCATCTGAGCCAGGCCATTTATGCATCCTAATCTGCTCATATCAGTTGATTTGAGCCAGCACCTATAGACATCTTAGTCTGTTTATAACAGTTCATCTGGACCTACTCATCTATCCATCTTTGCTTATATCAGTTCATCTGATCCTGCTCACCTATCTATCTTGGTCTGCTCATATCTGTTCATCAAAGCCAGCTTATCTATCCATCTTAATTTGCTAATATAAGTTCATCTGAGCTAGTCCATCTATCTTAGTCTGTTCATACCAGTTCATCTGAGTCAGCTCTTCTATCCATCTTAGTCTGCTCATATCAATATATCTGATCCTGTCCATCTATCCATCTTACTTTGCTCATATCAGTTCATCAGAGCCTGCCTATCTGCCCATTAGTCTGCTTAAATCAGTTCATCTGAGCCTGCTCATCTTAATTCATTTTAGCCTGATCATCTGTCCAGCTTAGCCTGTTAACATCAATTCAGTTGAACCTGTCCATCTTAGTCTGCACATATGAATTTATTTGAACCAGATCATCTGTCCCACTTAGTCTGCTTACATTAGTTCATCTGGGCCTGCTCATCTTAATTCATTTTAGCCTGATCATCTGTCCAGCTTAGCCTGTTAACATCAATTCAGTTGAACCTGTCCATCTTAGTCTGCACATATGAATTTATTTGAACCAGATCATCTGTCCCACTTAGTCTGCTTTACATTAGTTCATCTGGGCCTGTTCATCTTAATTCATTTTAGCCTGATCATCTGTCCAGCTTAGCCTGTTAACATCAATTTCAGTTGAACCTGTCCATCTTAGTCTGCACATATGAATTTATTTTGAACCAGATCATCTGTCCCCAGTCTGTTATATTTTCATCTGAGCCTGCTCATCTTAATTCATTTTAGCCTGATCCTGTCCAGCTAGCTTTGAACCTGTCCATCTTAATCTGCTCAATTCAGTTGAACCTGTCCATCTTTAACATCAATTCAGTTGAACCTGTCATATGAATTTATTTGAACCAGATCATCTGTCCCACTTAGTCTGCTTACATTAGTTCATCTGAGCCTGTTCATCTTAATTCATTTTAGCCTGATCATCTGTCCAGCTTAGCCTGTTAACATCAATTCAGTTGAACCTGTCCATCTTAGTCTGCACATATGAATTTATTTGAACCAGATCATCTGTCCCACTTAGTCTGCTTACATTAGTTCATCTGAGCCTGCTCATCTTAATTCATTTTAGCCTGATCATCTGTCCAGCTTAGCCTGTTAACATCAATTCAGTTGAACCTGTCCATCTTAATCTGCTCATATGAATTTATTTGAACCAGATCATCTGTCCCACTTAGTCTGCTTACATTAGTTCATCTGAGCCTGCTCATCTTAATTCATTTTAGCCTGATCATCTGTCCAGCTTAGCCTGTTAACATCAATTCAGTTGAACCTGTCCATCTTAATCTGCACATATGAATTTATTTGAACCAGATCATCTGTCCCACTTACTCTGCTCACATTAGTTCATCTGAGCCTTCTCATCTTAATTCATTTTTTTTTAGCCTGATCATCTGTCCAGCTTAGCCTGTTAACATCAATTCAG